AAAGTTGAACATTAATTTATATTGATTTTTTTTTTTTCTTATGAATTGATTTATATGGAGCTTTTGATTTTATATGGATTTCTTGTGTTTATTGTTAGTTGAAAGATTTTTTCATGAATGAAATACAACTAAATATATTGAGTTTTTGTCTTCTGTCTATTGACTTTTCATATTTGTTTTTAGTTGTGGGGTATTTATAAAAATACGCATAAATGTACATAAAATGATATGATGTTTGCACTTGTTAAAAATGATAATAGAAGTTACATATTTAAATATTTAATGTGGAAAATAGAAAGAGTTGTTATGATCCTCTTATATATAATTTTCGAATGTGTTGAGCCTAAATAACAGGCTCGCATGATTCATGATCCTATGTGGTAAAATTTCATGCTTCATTATTTGGTTTGAATATATTTTAATTTGTATCTTTTTCAGTTTTACATATATAATATATCTAATTAATCATCTCTTGATGAGCTTCGATTTGACATCCATATTGTTATAAAATAAATAAATTATGTTTATCTTTACAACAATAATAACATTATTTTTCAATATTAATTAATAAATAAAATTATTTATCAATTAATATAATTATGTTTCAAGTAGTTGTATGATATAAGGTAGAAAATTATTATAATATAATATATGTAAGTCACACAAGTAACAAGTATCACTCTTACATATATAATATTATATATTTTTTTGTAAAAAGGTATTTAAATTTTAAAATATTTTTTCTCATTAATTTTAAAATTTAAAAATAATTTTTTCACAAGCACTCGCGAGTGTTGTACTAGATTAGTATAATATTAGTGTGCTACACTAGTGTTTGATAAAATAATTAAATGTACAACAAAAAATGAAAGAAAAAATGTTTATATATTTTATTGAAGTTGGAAAAATAAATAAGGAACAATATATAACAATTTATAATATACACCTAAGTGAATTAACAATATTATTTTAAATTCTGAAAACTAATTTATATACATCATTAGTTTTATTTATAATATTTTTATTTAACACACATAGAAAAATAATATGGACAAAACACAAAAATTGAAAAGTAAGATAATATGCACATTATAGAAAGAAAATAATAAATACATTTATATGGAATAGTTTAAATAATATGGTAATCAAAAATCCTAAGTTAATTGGTTTAAAAATTTAGTATTTTTTGTCATTACACACTATAATATTTTGCCACATAAAATTACGAAATGCGCGAAACTTCAACTTAAGCTCCACACGTTTTGAAATTATATATAAGGGGTTACATATTTTTAACCAAAAAACACTCGTAACAGCAAAAACTTTGGTGATAAGAATAAGGGAATGTTTTATTTTAAACGATTTGACACTATAATCACACACATATCTAAATCTAATACTCTGTTTACATCTTAGGGTATTTGTATAAATCAAGATATGGATCCATTGTCATCTTCAATCCGTGATTGGTGATAAGGTTCTTAGGTTTTTATTTTATTTTATTCTTTTTTTCTAAATGATAATCAAATTTGATACGCATGCCATTTTATATAATAGTTAGATATGTAAGACCAACTTTTTTTTAGACGATAGCATTTTATAGATAAAATACATACATGCAGGAACGGATCCAGAAATTAAGAGTAGATTGTGCTACAATTTTAAAATCTCGTTTCACAAAAATCACATGATATTTTTTCTTCAAATATTTACTGAAATTGTGCTCGATGAGTTTTTTTATGCTCATTTTGCACCGTATTTGATGTACTTTCACTAGTTTGACGTTGATCCCGTTTTCTAAAGAATGATGATATCAACGAGATTTTTCCTTTCTTGGCCGAAGGTTGGTTTTCCATGTGAATTTCTAAAAATTTCACAATACAAATAAATAGATTTTGTATATCACATAGTTATTAGCAAAATGAAATGCCTACACATCACAAATTTATATCCAACTATGATATACAACAACCACACTAGAGGATAAGAGATTAAAACACATACACACACACACACACACTACTTCGTACACAATCAACAAAACAAGATTTGCAACTAAGATCCTAGCAATATCTATTAAAACCATAAATAGCTCAATCAAAATGAGAAGATAGACAAAGACAATTAGACAAATAAAATAATATCTAATAGGGGGGTTTAAAATTATAGCTTAATATTAAAGAAGAAATTAAATCATCGTCATAAAAGTAGCTCTTGTTGAATAATTTTTTTTTCTTCTAAATTCATTGTTTTAGAGTTCAGAGGAAGGGCATGACCGTGCTAATTTATTTGATTAGAGTTTGGTGTATATTATAGATAGTGAATTATTTTGATGGGTTAGTAAGTTAGTTTATTGGACTGAGCTAAAAACACAATATTTTTTTTTTTTCAAGATAATAGTTGTTAAAGAAAAAAAAAATAACAAGCCTGGGATGGATCCGTCCATGCATATATACAAACTAGAATAAAACAAGTAATAATCGAATAGTAGCTAGAGGATATCTCAAACGAAACCTAAACTACCATAATACACCCATAATCTCATTAGTAGAGAATACACGACTCCTAGAAAGAAAAATAACACCTAAAAGAAACACATAGAAAACACATGACACACAAACTACAACTAGCATAACTAGAATACTGTCTACCCCACTAGCCTGCCAACCCCGCCAAACCACCACTACTCGAAACACCAAAGGCTAGGGGTGGGATTTTATACCCGAGAACCGGAGAATCGAACCGGACCGAACCGAAAATAACCGGTTCGGTTCGGTTATTTAAAATAAAAAACTTTTTTTTTCAGTTCCGGTTATTTTTTGTACAAACCGGTTCCGGTTCTCGGTTCCTTTCCAAATGTTTGTGCATTAACCGAAAAACCGACTATATACATGAAATATACATGTTTTCTATGTTTACATATATAAATCGGTTCCGGTTCTTGGTGTATATTATCGGTTCCTCATTTTTCTTTTCGTAGCAACAAGAAGAAAGTTCAGTAGACCAGCCTGAGTGATTAGTTTGGGAATGGCCGGTCTAGGGGAGCTTAAACTCGATATCAACGTTTGACCTAGTTAGGCTTAGGCAACTCGGGGTACATGTCGACTTGATAGAAGGCTTGGAGGTCAGGCTTCTCCAGGAGCTCAGATAGATGAGGAGACCTCATGACCAGAAGGTCATGAAGATAGAGGTCGTGGTTATGACCTGGTTAGAGAGTCCGGGCAAGTAGGTCGCGAGGTCGTTCAGGCGACCTAAGGCAAAAGGAATAAATGATAAGATTCTAAGCATCACCATAGCTTCACAAAAATGTTCCCATTTCATATTTTCCAACTCACCTTCCATACAGTTTCTTTGGCGCCAAATAATTCAGCACGACCATGATAAGGCGAATTCTTGCAGGATTCGAGACTGGTTATAATGTTTTTCTTCACAATCCACAGTACAAGTACTGCAACTAAATAATATCAATCACATGCATAATTAAAACAACTAGCTTTGAGATCTGACACCTTTTTTTTTTCTTTTTTCTTTTCCGAATCAAAATAATCATTCAAAACTACATATAGTCTATGCATTTGGATGAAATGCTTTGGAGCTAATGATAATGAGTCCATAACAGCAGTCACTGATGTTTAGGTAATCCAGATAAATCGAAGGATTACAGCAGTCACTGATGTTTAGGTAATCCAGATAAATCGAAGGACTACAAATCCTCAGTATTTCCTATTACAAAAATTCAATCAGATGTAGTCTTTTGAAATCCTTTGCCCAAATCCTCCGATCAAATGTAAATCCATCCGCACAAATGGACCTAAAGATGTTATGAACACCCTCTTCAGAATCATTGTATTTTCTTAAGAAATTTCATAGCATGGATGTAATTTCTGAAATAGAAGCAAATTTCAGGGGGGACGCATAATTTTGAAAGATAGCTAGAACTTTTTGGAATTCAGTGTAGCTTTATATTATCATCGGTCAAATACGGAAGGCAATCATAGGACACAGAAACTTGAAGAGTTTTACCAGTTTACTCAGTTTTCTGCAAAAGACATTGTGTTTATTTGGAAACCAAAACATTGGACTGGAGAAAGGCAAGTCGATTTCTTGTTAAATTCAACTTCTCTTCTGCTTCTGCTGCTTTTTCTCGAACCCCACGCACAATATCTTCAGGGGCTTTCTCTACAAACTGTAAACAAAAATCATGAGAATGTGAAGGGACCGTAGGCATAAATTATTACCATAAGAATTTAAAGAGAGAAAAAGACAAAATATATTTAAAACAGAAGCAAAGGTAATTCTATACAATGAGCACAACACAGCTTGTACTCATACAGACTTCGCATGTGTTTCGATATTGTATATTATGGAGTCATCCACAATTATATACAAATGGTGTATTGACACATTACTTACAATAAATACACTTGGGACATGTGTCAAGTATATCGATTCATAGATCGCTCTCTTGGGGAGCCATCGACTCCATAGGAATATGCGAGTGTGTATTATGTAAGTCGGTGATCACCAACTAGGGATGTTCATTGATTTGAACTTTAAAAAACTTCCGACTTTCTCGAATTAACATTTTGAAACTGAACTCAAAATTCAAAACCAATTCAAAAATCTAACTGAAGATAGGTCCACAATCCATATGTACCAGATTCAAAACCAATAATTTTATAATGAAATTTTAAATTTCACCTCTCTTTCTTTTCTTCTCCATTTCCACCCTTGATACAATACCCAAATCAACATTAAAAACAAATTTTCTCGAATTCGCCTCGCGTTAGTACCAAATCTTGATTTCATTTAAAATTAAAAGCTCTTGTTTCGATTTTTGGGAATCTAGTTCAAAACAAATTTCCAACCCATTCAAGGAGGAAGAAAAAAAAAAAAAAAAGATGAACAAAAACCCCTAGGCTAGATAAATACATACATAATATAATTTATTAATTGTGGGCATAACTTACGCTGGGAGAACTTAGGCGAGCCATGAGTCCATCATATTCGGTTTGCATCTTAGAAAGGCGCTTTGTAAGCCGCTGAACTTCAGCAGAGATATCGACCATGTCAGCAAGGGGAAGGTAAGCCTCCAAACCTTCACTCGCTACAAGATGCACCGATTGATTGGCATCACCTGCTCATTATTTCATTAAAAGAAAAATAATTAAACAATGGATTGATGGAGAGCAGTTCATAGCTCAGTATAAGATGTAAAGAAAAAATCTATGGTATAAAATGGAAACGAAAATGGCTAGTTTTATGGGATACCAGGGACAGATTCGGAAAAACTGATGTTCTGTAAATCGAGTTTTGAGAGCAGAGCCAAAACATCTCTTTCTTTCTGCATAGATGATCATGACAAGGAATCTTATTTTCCTGACAACAGATAGCATTTTTAAGGGCATCAACTGCACCGATGAGATTACATCTAGACACAGATAGAAAAGGATAATTTTGACAAATAATACAGAAGCTTTGCCCAATAATTTGGACTCAAGTATGATTAGAGTACTTTAAAAAAAATCACCCTAAATTCAACCCATGAAATGGACAGGGTACCTTGACAACATAACAAAACAGAATGGGAAGAGAAATAGGAGAGACTAAAATAAGGAGCATTCAAAACAACATCACATCAAGGTGTCCTGCTTTCTTTTACCATTACTTTTTAAACAGGCGGAAGTTAACGTGTCATCTCTTATTTCTAAAGCTCACGAATGCTTTCACCTATAATATGCAAGTACAAAAGAAGCATCCTGTAAGCTCATTCAGAAAGTCGCTCGCTATATTCTTTAGATTAAGTCCATAAAATCTCGAATCTCAATATTTCAGACCATTCAGGACATGGGACAGATAAATCTGCACTTCAAGTGAAAGCAAACAAATCATTGAATAATTAGTCCAGTATTACACTGAAAAAAGTAGCCAAATTGGTCAGCTTACAGAGATGTATTGGATGACTTCTGAATTTGCAACAATAATTAGTCCAGTATTACACTAAAAAAAGTAGCCAAATTGGTCAGCTTACAGAGATGTATTGGATGACTTCTGAATTTGCAACAATAGACGCAGATATACGCCGTGCTGGTTCAACTGAGTATTCTGCCCGAGCATTGCGGATTGCTCTCGTCTGGGATCACACAGAAAATATGCAAAAAAAAAAACTACCATTTAAGTAAATCTTTCATAAAAAAAAAAAAAAAAAAAATTACCAAAGCCTGTAAATTTTCGAACTTCTTGATGGACTCAGCTTGCCTTGGAAGTGAAGTAAGTGGCCAAGCGGATATAATAAGAGCTTCTTTTCTGTTGGGTAAGGACTGTCGGGACAAAATATAGAGGATCAGACTGGACAGAACATTCTCAACAACAACAACAACAACAACAACATACCCAAGGAGGTTGTTTCTGTAGCGACCCAAGGTGCATTACGCCGTTTGATATATATTTTTTTTTCTAGAAACTTCACTAATAGAAGAAGCACTAGAATTTAATTGAGCCATTTTGATCTAGTCCATTATTAGCACTATGCCAGAACATTCTCAATTCAGGAAAAATAAAATGACAATTTTTTCGTAGAGAACTAGAAGCATCAAGTTGACCTAAGCTGATACTCGCCAACTAAGCCATTAGTATATTCAAGCCAGCATATCATATGGTACTAATGAATCACCAGACTTGGAGGTTCCAGAGAAATATAGAAAACATGAGTTATTTTGTCTTTTGTAGTTCACTGTACATTGAGTAGTTATACAGGCTTAGAAAAGTGTACTTTACCAATATAATTAATTAAGTTCTATTTAGGCTCCTCAATACTTGGGCTATCAATAGAAAAAGTCAACATGCCAATCCATATGGCGCATAACTGATGTTGGAAAAAGATAATGACGCCTAAGCTGTGTAGAATTACAATAACTGGATGCTATTTTGAGAAATCAAAGAAGATAAGCTACCAAGATAGTAAGGAAATATAATATTGTTTTCTTAGCTCCAAATAATTAGTGGATAAATGTGTGAGCAGATTTGAGATATTCTATACAAACTTGAGCCTTCTATACCTGCCAAAGCACTTCAGTTACAAATGGCATGAATGGGTGAAGTAATTTCAGTATATTCTCAAAGACATACAACAGTACAGCCTTCGCCATTAGAGCAACCGGATCACCCCCCGACTGATAGAGTCGAGCTTTACTTGCTTCGATATACCTAAGAAGAATAAGAATAGAATGAGTACGACAAAAAGGAATAAACATAATAAAGATAAAACCGAAGCGCTGGAGGATGAATATTCTGATTGCTAAAACCGCATAAATATGTAACATTCAAAAATTGAAAAAGAAAAATGAAAAGGAGAAGGCCCAAAAGCAAACCAGTCAGCAAAATCAGCCCAAAAGAAATCATATATTTCTCTTGCAACGTCTCCAAAAAAGAACTTGTCGTAACTCATGGTGACAGCATCTATTAGCAAATGAAGTTTTGATACCTGCAAATTGTGTCAATTGAAAAAGTAAAAAGAAAATGCTTGTACACCATAACCATATCAGGATGCTATCTTACCGCCCAGCATTCTGGTAGAGGTAGCTTGGACAGTTGCTCATCTGTATCAAACTGCAAAAACAACAGTAGCAGCACACTTCAAAAGAATGTACAATTTTTTAAATGTCATTACACAAAAAGAAACATAAGGTAGCAAGTGAATGAATCACACAAAGGATATTGGTATTATGATATGAATTATTGGATAATTACAAAAATTTTGGGGTATCTACTATATAAAATAAAATATCTAGAGAAACTTCAAAACTAGCAAAAATGATGATGATGATGATGATCATAATAATAATAATAATAATAATGTTTATTTGATAAACACCTTCCAATCATAAACAGGCTAGTTATCACATTAAATTTATGGCAGAACAAAACCATTACTATTCTTTCTTATCTTTTCATTTTATTTTTTTGGCTGTATATTGTAATTACCCCAAACCTCAGCAGAAGTTTCTGTAATTATCTAACTGATACTATATGCGGAGATTGGGAGATGAATACCTAAATACCACAATGTCTAAATGTCTGCATACAATAACAAATATGGCATGTGCTTCTATCCTCAAGTTAGATACCCATAAAGTTTAAAAAGCAACTTAAGGAGATTAAGGTCCTTATAATTTCAACGAATATGGATAGTGGGTAAATATGAACCTCCCACCACAACCTGGCACATGTAAAAGCATACGGTTTAGAGATTAATGATCTGCGAACTTACTTTTCCAGAATCATAGTACTTCACATAGCTATAAAATAGAAAGTATGTGGCCACAATGAACACACTATTTGCTAATCAGGAAAAGGAAGAGGCCAAAGAAACCTTAAATTCCTGAATAGCTTCCCATGCAGATATGTCACTTTGTTGAGGCAAGCTCTGCAATACAAACTTGCCGGCATTCCACAGTTTATTGGTGAATGCTTTGTTAGAATTCAACCTCTCAGTTGATAAATTTAGATCCTGAAACACAAAAAGAACAAACAATCAATAAGTTATACAACAGAAATATTTGGGGCTGAACGCATCTTATAACATAGTTGTGACAACTACTGACAACCATGAAATGGCAATATCATTGGACAATGGCTCCTTTAGGCCAAATTTTCATAGATGCAAGGGAGAAATCTAGAGAGTGACAAACCTGACCAGCAGTTCCAAGAGAGAGAGTAAAACGCAGAGCATCGGTGCCATACTCTTTTATCGTATCAAGTGGATCTATAACATTTCCTAGGGTTTTAGACATTTTACGGCCCTGAAAGATTGTAAATTACAAATCTGAAATACTTCAGCTTGAAGAAAGGATTAAATTTGCAATGGAAGTAATAAAATGTGCAAAGTTTATAATAAGACAAGACAATCATATCCAACTTCTTCGTGTTCAACATTAAATTCAAAAACTAGAAAAATTTAGTGCAGGCACCAAGACTAGCAGCCTACTGTTTGAAAACGTAGACTCATACAAAAAAGAAGTACCATGAAAACATTTCAAGTTAACCATAAATAGCTGAGCTTTATAGGCTACCTCATTTGAATTAGATTAGATGGATGGGAATTAATAATGTTACAATGCCAATTGTGAACAAATCAGAAATATTGCTTTTTCATTGACCTCATGACAGGGCAACATAAGATAGATACCATCAAAGAAGCAAGCAAGAGAAAGAATGGGTAAAAGGAGTAGCAGATATCATTACCGATAGGACACACAAAGTAAATTACAACTAAAAATTAAGAACCTAAACAGACCAAGATATAAAAAGTTATGACACGAAAACTTCAGAAGAGTCAACTGAACACTTGATTTCTTCAAATATCTCTTGCGGCAATATCACCTGCCAAATTGACAATTTCCTGAAGAGCCAATCCAATTTACTATTTAGACAAGTGCTTGGTTTCTTAGTCTTGAGTTCTTTTCTTGTTGACAAATGTTCCGCTGAATTTTTTTATCTAAGCTATTTGCAAAAAGTTTGATGTTAGTATTCTTTAATATATCTTAATAGTGTTGGTTGTTCTCGTAAAAATGAACTGCCAAATATACCCTATACTATTAGACAACATCTAGGGTTATGAAATTTGGATATAAATGTAAGGGAGTGACAACAGATTAAATTTAGTACATTTACATGATGCATCATATGATATATCCTCTTCTGCTTTATTAATGTAATTTTGATATTCATGTTGAGAGTTACAGTAGGTACTAATTTCAATACATGTTACATGATTAATAAATATATTCTCCTTTGCTTAAGTAATGGAAAAAATTGAGTATATTCTTCAGCACAAATCCAATAAAAACAAAATTTCATATCACCAAAAAGAATAATTAATGATCATGTGCCCTTTGATATTCATGTAGAGAGTTCCAGGTATTAATTTCAATACATTTTAATTGATTCATAATAAAATATATTCTCGTTTGCTTAAATAATGGAAAAAACTGAATACACTCTTAAGTATAAATCCCATAAAAACAGAATTTCGATGACCAAAAAGAATTATTAAGGATCATGTGCATCACATGGGTACCTTCCTAGTATTATAATGAAAATGACTTAAGTAATTGTCTGAGAAAGACAATACATGCTTACTCAGTTTCAATTTATGCATGCCATACATTAAGAAGTTTAAATTACTTATAGGCGAAATGCAGTATCGATATATAAAAGCATGATCATGTCATCAAAGTCATTGAGCAAACAAGAGTTCGAGTTATTTGAAAGAAGGATAATCTTTTGTAACAAACAGCTCGATTATGGTGAGAATGTCACTTTTGACTCACTTGAGAATCTCGGATAAGTCCATGAAGGTAAACATTTGAAAATGGAACTGTCCCTGTGAATTCTATTCCCATCATCACCATTCTTGCCACCCAAAAGAATAATATGTCGTGCCTGTTCAAATGGGGCAGCTCTTTTATCTTTAGACAATAAGAAATAGAATCCTCATTTTAAGGCAATGAACTTACTCACAAAAAGTATCAAAGTAACAACAGGCCTTCTTAGAGGAAGGTTAAAGAACACCAATATGTTGGTAAAGAAACAATTTCAAACTAGTGGGTGGATATGGCATAATATAGTACAACATGAAGCATCAAATAATGCAAAGTGCAAAGGAAATCGGCCAGAGAAGGAATGATGCGATTCAATTTTCTAGGTATGAAAAGTACTGCCATGCCAAATCCAGATGTTCAGTCGCCAAGATAATAGTTAAAAACTAAACAGAAATTTCTTTATCAAATTATTTTTCTCGGTGGAGGCAAAAGTCAGTAACAGAGAGGGACAAAGAAGTGATAAAGCCTCTTCCATGTAAAACACTGCAGCAGCCATTTTTTCCCTAAATAAAATTTCAGGGAAAATAAAAAGTTATGCATTACTCTCCATGTATTTAAAAACTCGAACTATTATTTATTTTTAACAGAATGAAATGCATGCCAATAGTTTTTCAATTACCTGACCCATTCTTTATCTCAATCGCATTGTCACTAGATAAACATAAAGTAAATAGGAAAATCCATAAGTGGCAAACTACATACCCGGTTTCAAGAACTGATGTAGGGTAAAACTTCTTAAAATCTTCTGCTGACACATCCGGCCAACCAAGAGTGCTGAAAGGCCACAGTGCACTAACGAAAGGAAACATGATGAGTTCAGTGATCAGTTACTTTAAGTCACTTGGCATGTTATCATCAATGTTTTGGACAGCTGAACATTCAGCTACCAGCCTACCAAGCATCAACTCAACTATGACAATGAGATAATACTAGCTTGTTATTTAAGGAGTAATATAGAAAAAACATGCAATTAATTGAGAACTTCAGTTTGATTTAACTGGCATCCCCGAATTTCTGGCATACAAACAATGCTATTCAGTCCACATATGCGATCATTAGTCGTAAAAAATACCCAGTATCTTTGCATTTCTTTTTCTCCCAGCAGGCCAGAACAAAATGATTTTTTTTTTTTCTTGCAACGGTTGATGTACTATGTTAAAGAAAGACTCGGACCACTTACTCGCCAAATTCTAGATATATAATGGTATCAATACAAACTTACCATGCATTTACCGCTAAATCACATCCAATGGTTAATGGCCATAAAGCTGATAATGCAAAGTCAAATTATACCATTTTTTCTCAACTCATTAATACTTATTTATATATATCATATTTCATTTTTTTTTTTACTCGAGCCAGACATTTGTTTGCAAAAGCATACAGCAAATATATAAGGAGAAAACGGGCAGGCTAAACAGTAACCTCGAAAACCAGGTATCAAGAACATCGGGGTCCTGATATATTTCAACGTTTTTGCCATACTTCTCATGAGCTTTTTGAAGAGCTTCCTCAGTGTTCCGAGCAACTATGTAATCTTCTTCACAATCTTTGCCCACTATGTACCAAACTGGTATGCGATGCCCCCACCATAGTTGTCTGCTTATACACCAATCCTTGATATTTGACAGCCAATGATTATATATCTGAACCATCAAGTACACAAGTAAAAATGCAACACTAGCTGCAAACAAATAATGACATTTTTAATTTCCAACTAAAATAAATCCAAATAATGTATATAGAGATGATCACGCTTTAAATTCTCCTGTTGTCTGCTCAATATATGAGGAAACATAAAAAACACTAGCCATTTCAGATGCTAGAAAAAGAATCAACAAATCAAGAAAGGCAAGGAAAAAAGTTCAGATAATCTAATGGCGTAAAAAAAATTATTAACTTGAGGTTCTGGGTCTACTATAAAACCCCCCCAAGGTTACTAAAATTTACAAATAAATAATTAATTTATAAACCCTTGAGGTTTAATCTATATATATATATATATATATATAATTAAAAAAAAACTGATTTATATGGAAGTTAAATAATTTAGATTTATATTATACATTTACAATTTAGATTTATATTATACATTTACATATGGTCAAAATCTTAAAATATAATACACACTTTATCTAATTTAAATTTTTAAATATCATATTCGTACATATAATAGATAAATTTTTGTTTTCATCTGTGCACATGCACAAGATCGAATGCTAGTATTGCTTTCCCTGATGGGGGTAATCTGAATACTTCTACAGATGTGTAGGGGATTTAAAAATGTTTCTTTTTTGTCTTTGGAAGAAACATTAGATGAAGTCAAACTCAAAGTTTCGTTTGAAATTCTCAAAAACTCCGCTTCCTTTTATTTCTTTAATCTCCCCTAGCAGAAAAGACTCCCAAAAGCATAAATGAAGTGCATTAGAAAAGACAATTAATACTATGTACCTTCTCGAATCTTTCAGGCATGATAGTTAATTCCCCTTTTTCAACTGCTTGGAGAGCCTTCTCAGCCAAGGGCTCCATTGTAACAAACCACTGTTTGCTTACTAAGGGCTCTATTATCTGAAAAGTAAGAAATCCACATAAGAAATGGGGATAAAATGCAGATATTCAAGCAAACATTATCCAATTTTCACACACCTCTCCACCTCGCTGAGATCTGGGAACTCGTAGAGTGTGAGGCTCCTTTTTGACAGCTAATCCTGTCTCCTCAAGCGCTGACCAAAGCTTCTTTCGTGCCTCAAACCGGTCAAGACCACTGAACATTGCTTTATGTAATTAGAGAATATTAGGCCAGGATATGAATTCCTTTTATCAATGCTGAGAAGTTTAAGTTTGAATTTTCACAGATACCAGTATAACCCAGCAACATCATTTAATGTCCCATCTTTATTCATGACACTAAGAATGGGAAGACCAAGCTTCCGAGCAAGAAGGTAATCATTGTGATCATGGCCAGGGCTTATCTTCAAGACACCGGTTCCAAAGTCTTTATCGACATACTGCATAGTTGACGTGAAAGTAAATTTAAACCAGGACATCCTGTACAATGAAAGCATGAACAAAAAACTAGATTCTACATAAGAAATAGATACTTACCTGATATGCAATTAACAAAATAAGAAATTGACAATAATTTGAAGTTTGAACTCAAGCAACACATCCATCAGTTTAATATATTAATAGTTCATAACACACACATTTAACAGTTGAACTATTTTTTTGTGGCAAATAATTTAGAGAGATCAACTATGTCAAGCAAACAACACTGGGTCGTGTAAGAACCCTAGTGCCAATCAGATTTCTAATTTTATTTTTATATTTTTCTAGATGTGCAATGTAGGTATCCTGAAGGATGGATTAAATCGTGAGAAAAGATCGTTTTACCTTATCAGCAATAATAGGCACATGTCGACCAAAAGTCATAGGTACAATAGCCATCTTTCCAATGTACTTAGAGTATCGTTCGTCCTAAGAAACATTAAATACATATTAGAGAATGATACCCCCAAATTTCAATAAAATGACCAGAAGCAGCAACAAAAATATGACTACTACTTAATTGTTTTAAAAAGAAAAAATGACAAACATTGTAAATAATGGACTGAGATAACTTGAGTATGCTTATTGTAGAAATATCGGGCAAGAGCCAAGCATGTTTAACCAACAGCTATGCAGTCTAATATAAGTAATTCATTTTAAAAACTTTTGCTTGCTAGCTTTCCAACTGGACTGGAATGGAACTACCGACTTTCGCCAAAGAGGATACCTAGCTAGTCCGAAGGCTTGTTAGTATTATCTTACTGCAGCAATTTTGCTCATATATAAATGAAATGACAAAGAAACTGAATATTGTAGGCGTCTAAAATGTAACACTCCACTAGTTAACATGTTTTAAAAAATAACGTGGATTCTCATTCCACTGTACGAATCCAAAAAAATACTGAAAATCAACCTAGTCATTACTGAACATGATCAAATATTCCAGTCTCAACAACGGCATTTATGTTAATGTTATGATGTATCGTGCAAGAAGCCTCACAATTTTTATGGTCCTGATGTGCTACCATCAGCTTGTCTCAATATAGTAAAACTTTCGTATTCAAAACCCATCAGACAATTGGGAAGGGATTATTTAGTATCACCCTCTATGTGACTCAACACATCTTTCAGAGCTGCTCTTCACAGTAGTCAAGTTGTTTAAGGCAAAGTGGTACAAGGGATATTATGACTGCATGAATTTGTTCCCAGGTTAGAATTATACTTTCTATTTGGGAACTAGATATTGAAAATAGTCTCCTCCTCTCACGTGCAATAATGTTAACATGAGAAAAACATTAATCAAATTTGTCAAATGAACGAAGTCAATCTTCAAACGTACAGATTAAAGCTCCTCTTCAGCTCTTCTTTCATCCCACTCTACCAAAAGGCCTCTCACATTCATGGCAGTAAAAACGCTCTCCAGACAGATTTTATTTGTTAACATGATTATTTTGTCAGTTACGATGTAAACTTAACCGAGTCTTGGTAATCGTAATAAGAAATTAGTGATAGAACAAAAGAGTTCACTTCATGTACCAAGGCCCAAAAAAGTTAAGGTCCTAAGGATCAGTTTATGCAGAAATCGAAAAACAAATCTTACAGACAGTTACCTGGGGGTTCACAGCTACAGCTGTATCACCAAATAAAGTCTCTGGCCTTGTGGTCGCAATTGTTAGATAGTCACTCCTGTTAGGAAAAATAACTCACTATTGGCGCACATGAGTATATAGGACTACTTCTGCATTAAATTTAAGCACAAAAATGTACACAAGTATAAGCTCTTAAAGAAGGTGGATTCATGCAAGTGTTTTTCTTTTGCAAATTTCCTTGTCCATCAATCTGATGATCAATTACCCATGACAGATAACCGATCAAAAAAAATTACCCAAGACAGATAAACTTCATTGACAACATGAGCATACAAGTTTTCTTTCTAAGAAAGTTTAAAAGGTTCTTTTTTTCAAACATGGGTTTAACAATTAAATTCTATACCTATGAATGGCATGAAGAATTTATGAAGAATTTTACAAGATTTTCCCAATTCAACCAGCAATAGGTGCAATATTTCTTCAATTGCTTTGTGACCGCACTGCGAATCCAAGAATTGAATATCATGCAGAATACAAGGTTTGTTGCATGTAGTTGTACACCTGCCTAAAATAATTTTAACACGGCTAATACCTTGAACCACCAGCAACACGGTACTTAATGTGATAAAGAGCACCTGGTTCTTCCGAATACTCCACTTCCTAAAGAAAGGAAAAATTTGATAGGCAAACACACAAAAGAAGACAGAGGAACAGTCAAAACGAACATTTATAAAAGCTGACAGGAGATATAAAATGGAATGTAGTCATAAATTGTGTACCAGGTCAGAAACTGCAGTTTGTAGATTAGGTGACCAGTTCACCATGTAAGAGCCTGGAAGAAACTACACGTTACTACATATATTACAATCACAATCATCACAAAGTGCTTCGATATCCACGGTCAGAAAGCTTTAGTCCACAAGTTTTAGGAAAGTGTGAGAATATTGCTAGAGTAGAAATGAGAATAGAACTATTGGTTTTGTAATATAATAAGATTTTAACTTAATGGATACACAGCGATATAGCAAAAGGGGCGGGCAAGGGTTTCTAAATTGTGGCAATTATATATTTGAGTTGTGAGAGGACATGAAGGTTCTTATATCTCTTTACACTAAAAGGCAAAAGCCAGTTGACATCATAATCAAATCACTCAACGAGAGAGAGAGAGAGAGAGTTTGTAATCATGCATTTTTCTTCTATAACTGAAAAGGCGTATAACACTAATGAACAAATATCCCTCAAGTTTATATTAGTAGCAATAGACAGTTAATAAGTAAATTGTGCCTGCCTTGATATATCAGGCCTTTCTCGTGAAGCTTAACAAACGCCTCGGCTACTGCTCCTGGCAGAAGTTGAGAATAAAAAAAAATTACAAACAAGTTATGCGGCACAAAAATGTAACACTTTGTGTAGCTTTAACTCACCAAATTAAATATTATAGCAGTTGATGAGTTCAATGCTGTAAGCTTTTAAAGTAAAAACAATTGAATCAAGGGTAAAGTAAGCCAAAAAAAAAAGTGATAATCTTAATCCAAAAGGAAAATAAGAACATGTTCTCCTCGGGATGAATCTCGCCCATCTTAAAGCCGCCAATTCTTTTCAACCAAAAATTATCCCAACTGATGGCTGTAATACGCTTAAAGAGATATAACCCTAAACATAAACCTAACGGTTATTCTAACCGTATGCTCCCTATAGCTCACTAATTTGTTTCAAACAAACATAATATATTAAAATATATGACAAAAAAACAAGGAACTTGGCTCTTTGATAGAAATTTCTTACTATAAAACAAGGAACTTTGCTCTTTGATAGAAAATTTCTTATATAGTAATAGGTAATCCATAAATAATAATGCACTAATCTAAACATCCAAACACACTGTGAACAATGCATGGTTGATTGAGGATTTACTGGATGAAAACTGCCTTACGACTCAGCTGAGCATCTAGAGTAAACCGTTCTCTTGTCCAATCGCAAGAAGCACCAAGTCTCTTGATCTGATTTGTGATTGTCCCACCATACCTGCAATTAATACATTGAATGAGCACCACAAAACACTGAATAAAAAGAAAAATAAAACTACAGAATGGATTACAAATTCTCATAGTGCAAGCAGTTTTCTTCAGGATACCATAACAGTATCCAAGGGGAAAAGGGAAGCACATTATCTGCCCCATCATTAACCCAAAAAAATGATATGCAGAAAGCTCTACCAAAATATCATAGTGATATACAAAAATTGAGCTTGCAGTTGAGCACACTCATTTCCTTTTATCTTTTTTCATATAGCATATGTTACACATTTGTATCATCGTAACAAAATCATTAGGTGCCTCATTTTCCTACCGAAAACTGTTGCTCATTCTCTAAAGTAGCAGTAGCAATGCAAGTAAGATGAACGCGACACGTTTCTATGTTTCATTAGTTCCTTATTACATGGAACTCGAACAAATTTAACGAACATATATGCATGAAGCGAATCTTCCTTACTTAATTCTATTTATAAATTTTCAAATGGATGAGAACTAAAGAATGTGCAAATATAATAGCCACAGACATCCCCATTCCTGGTACCACGAACAAAAAATGAAGAAAAGGAACAAACACGAAAGACGTATGTTTCAAAAGGATGACAATACTCGAATTAAGACAACAGCAACAAGAAAATATAAAATTTAATATTATACTATTTAGAGGATTGACATGTTTGAGGTTGTTTGGTGAAATTAGCTTCTTTATCCCTTTTAAAATGCAATTTAAGTAGTTGGGGGAAAATAAAAACCCTAAATCAGATCTCTGCGCTAATAATTGATCTGTTTTAGCTGAAATTAAATCCTAAAATCAAGCACCCGAAGATATCTTTGCACACGAATATGGCAGAATTTGCGTACAACACAGAAGCCATTATTATCAGAATCGAACACAAGTCCCGCAAGATCGAGAGCTTACTCACACAGTACGAGATTTTTACGAAATTCTCCCAGAAAATATCACAAATTGTTGGGGGAAAAAAGTTGGATGGATTATCAATTGCGAGATTCTAGCTTTGAATGAATAAAGAAAATGAGAAAACCAGCTTAACCCCATTAACTGAAGCATGCACTAATATACAAGAATACGATTTATTGAAGTTAATAACCAAAACTAATCAATAATATTAAATTATTAATGCAGCACAATCTAACTAATACTGACTGCTCACTAAGAGTAGGCGGAGCTAACTTCTCGAGTAAGATTAACTAATACTCCAATATGAATGGACAATTGAATACATAAATCAACCAATTGACATCATGATGACACCTAATTACATTATAATCTAGGTAATTATCTCAAAATACAATTCCTCTTCTTGAATACCACATCTAAGCATTTAAAAAATTGGTTATTGAACTTCCAGCACAGGGACTACATCAATTTCCAAATAATGCTACCAATGTCACTAGTTTTACTCGGTCAAAATTCCATCAGGGATATGAGGGACAAGGAGTTGAGCAATATTAGCAACAATGACCTGAGATATGTGAAAAATCCTAACAAATATTCATCTTCTTATGCAGAACTGACAACGATATCACAAGTAACACAAACTGAAAAGTTAGATTCATTGGAATCAGGCATAAGCAATAGCAAAAGCACAAAAAAGGAAGCAATAGCAAAAGCAAAAGCACAAACTGAAAAGTAGATTTACTTTTCCTTCCATTCCCATACTCGTTTTGTAAATTCTTCTCTGCCCAAATCAACTCTTTTTACTCCTTCCGCTGCTAGCATTTTTTCCACAACCAACTGAAAGGTTAAAGGTATTCAGTTCGCATCAGCACCATGACTATGAGGAAATCTTCGTTACATAACATATTTAAAAAATATCATAATAATAACTAAGGGATAAGAAAAGGTAAGGGCATGCTGAGTCGCGCGACTTCAGTGGAAAGACATCCCTTGGTCGAGCGTCTACAAACCTAATTTACTCACATTTAATTCATACTCAAAATATAACCCAACTTTAACTCAACCCAACTATCTTTAATATTATTCATATAATTAAATAATACAAGCCAATCATTCTTACACATCACATCAACTTTAATTCATTATTCATCCACTGACATTTTTAACTACATCATTTCCAATCATTTATCTCCTACTTTTACATCAAATCAATATTAATCATTTTATTTTAAATATTATTTTAATAAATTCTTAAAAATCTCATTAACAACTAACTATACCACATTTTTCAAAATTAACTCTCGTTAACCAAAATAACTCATTTTGGATGGATTATTTGGTAAACAAGCAACCCCTAAATAATTTATGAAAGGATCGAGTAGAAGGGAAAGGAGCAACAAATTGAAAAAAACGAAGATGCTTTAACATTGGCAAGGTAAAACACCAGTGGTGGAACTAGATACTAAAGCTGGAGGAGCCAAAAACAAGTTATTGACAAAGATTATGAGTATTTTGAGAGAAATTCTAGGTCGTAGGACATCTGTTAAAACAAGGGTTTATATAAAAAAAAAATATGACTAGTTATCATTATACTATTATAGGGGTGACAACTACGGCCCCTAGGCCATCCGTGGGTAGAAAACGGTTGAAAAATTGATTAAGCCCCTCCAACTACTAGTAGAATAGCAACATCCTCATGTGACAACGTATGTAACTCCCAATTTAAATGATAAATTTCTGATTTAACAAACTGATTGTAGATCTTTATGCGATGAAAATCATAGACCATGACAAGCAGCAATGGAAATTTCAAGAGTCTATTTATGTTTCTCGACATATTCAAAGTTCAGCAAAATGAACTCATTCTGTCTACAGTTTCATTTCATTTTTTGCTTTTAGCAGATGGGCACGGGGATTAAAAGAAGATATTATACCACTACACCAATTAATACACAGAATAAGTTTAAATGTAGATAAGTCAACCTGAGTGGCAATACCGGCATGATCAGTTCCAGGAAGCCAGAGTGTAGGTCTTCCTTTCATTCTGTGGTATCTTACCATGATATCCTATCATCACATAAAACCAATAGCAGGGCAACATTGCTAAGGATATTTCAAATTTGAAATGAAATAACCATGGTAAAATAAAAGGTGGTCCAAAAATGGGCACGTAAATCAATAAGTACAGCATCAAGTCATGAAGAGTGATGTGGAGACAAGGAGGTAGAAGAACACCAGAGAGCAAGATGACCATAGCCGCAGCAGTTTCGGCATTTGCAACTTAAACTATACTATAAAGTTACAAAAAAATCAAAATTCTTAAAATTTGATGCATTGAGTAATTCCCGAGGCTCACCGAACAATAACATTTTACTATTTGAGCATCATCTGAAAGATTAAAAGTAGCAACAAACTAAAGCATAATCCAGAAGGATGTATCCATTTAACTGACAGTTACAACTGTGCCANAAACAAACAAACAAACAAACAAACAAAAAAGTTGAAGGGGGAAAGCATGCACGAGCTACCACCCTAAAACTATTAACAGAAAACTGCACTTCAGTGATACCAGACTCCTTTATGTGCGTACACATTGTCCATGAAATCTAAAGTTCCACCCAAGAAAATGAACAATAAAACCTGCATGCATCCCATGCATGGCACGCCTAACATGAATTCGTAAATATCTTAATAATATAGAAAAATAACAAATAATGAACCAAAGGGTGTCAAATAAAAAAAATCACATAAATCCATACCCAATTAACACATTTAAATATTTTAACTGTGGAAATGGACTCCAAATGGAGAGAAGAAATTACTTTCTGAAAAGGAAAAAAAAAAAAAAACATTTTCCAACCTCAAGAGTTACAAACATTGCGTGTCCCATGTGCAATGAACCAGTAACATTAGGTGGTGGCATTGGGACTACGAATGGATCATTTCTTTGTTCCAAATTTGGCTTGAAATATCCTTGAGACTCCCACCTAAGATGAACATTGAGAAGTCAAAAACTTATACCGACATTGAAAGGAAACAAGTAATAAGGCCCAGGAATAAAGACATGTTTTTGATCCTTGTACGCTACATGTAAATACAAATAAGGAATGCTATATGGAGTTAGGCAAAACAGCTTCTTCCTTTAAAATATTAACTTGATTTTATGGTTATACAAAGTGTTATACAAATTCATTGTCCAATCTTACAACTAACACAAAACTTACACTGCAACATTCGTAATAGATTTCTAAGCATGATAAACCACCAAGTAAAAGCCCCACTTGAAATTTACATTGTACAATACCATAACCAAATATAAAAACCAAAACAAAAAAAACAAAAAAAAAACAAAAATCTTCCCAAATTTTGACAACACACGAGCGATCAACAGATAGCATCATCGTGTTCTTAAAACATTACATTACTTGACAAGGATTCTTATGGACAATAAAAAATGTATTTCTAGGCTTCTAGTTACTACAATGATGAGGGAAAAAATATTAACCGTTTGAAATTTTCAATTATTATTGAACTTCGAGTCAAAAACAAATTCAGAAAAAGTAGTTAAATTACCATTTATATATTCTTTCTTCCATTGTAAAGTCAAAGGCCTTTGCTACTTCCGGCGAAGTAAACACGCCGTCACTCTCCCCCATGGAAGCAACTGAAATTTGCAGCAAAAGATCAGAATTTCACATATACCACAATGCAACCGCAACATAAAACCCCAAAGATATAACGAACGCCAATCTAAAAATAACGCATCAAAATTTATCAATGAAAAGCAAATTCCGTTAAACAAGTTTTCTACTTCTCACACACAGATAAATTGTTTCTACTTAATTCAACTACACTTGTCAAACACTCGAGATTGAAACAGAGAAAAAACGGACATTGACGAGTCCTTTCATCTCTGTAATTTTATTCAAACACTCCAAAAACATTTTCACCTGCTATTGCTTTATTGTTGTTTGTTCTTCTCTTTTTTTTTTTTTCAAAACCTCGGTGCTTACCGGTGGTGAAGCGCATACATCTGAGACGAACAACGTGTGGGCGGGAGAGAGAGATGCGACGACGTCGTTGGGCGGAGAAGAGTAGTGGATTGAGGCGGTAGCGTACTGAGCAGGAAGAAGATAAGAGGGAGGGGGTGGAGAAGGCCATTTTCCCTGTACGCACACACTCGTTTGCAAGGGCGATCTGTGTCAACTTATAAATAAATGTGTGAAGCGCGCTTTTGTGGGTATTTCAAGCGACTTCAGTTAGAGCAACTTTAATAATCTCAATTGAATACCCAGTATTTTAAAAATTCAATTTAGATTTGTTAAGACTTTTAAAAATCTTGGGTATTCAATTGGGATTTTAATAAGTCTTACAAAATACTAAATATTTAATTTATAAAAAATGCTACAAGTACATAATAAATGTACATGGAAGTGTACATAACAATCACATGGAGTGAGGTCCACTTGATCTTTTATATTTGGTGGGTCTCACTCAATGTGAGTGTTATGTACACCTCTATGTATAATACTATGTACATATAGCATTTCTCTTAAAATAAATTTCTCGTCTACCAATGTTTCCAAATACTCCACAATTAAAATTAGTCATCTTCTTTCTCTCCATTTCCACAATTAAAATTGACCTTCATTTCCGACTCTCAGAACACTTGTATAAAAAAACAAAAAAAAAAGTTTCACGAAAACCTCCCGTGCCATAATTAAGCAACTCTTTCGCCGCAATGATAAATCAGAAGAATATCATCAGCAAGAATCGAAATCTTGGTAAGTTTTTCGACATTTTTGTTTTATTAGGTTTTGACATTTTCTTCTTTCGTATGCATGTTGAAGATGATTATTTTCTATTTCTTTTTATAAATATCTTGGGTGGTTGAATCGGGTGATTATAAATATTTTTCAACAAAAAAAGGAAATAAAAGCAAAAATAAAAAAAAAACAGAATCGGGAATGAAGATAAAGTAAAACTCTTCAAATCCTTATACGATTCCCCATTCATATATATTTTTCAGTGATACTCTATAGACAAAATTTCTCACAATCAAGATCAAATCTTATTTTTTTCTTTATTAATTTTTTATATTTCTCAACAGGTATGGATGACGATTATGAAGTTAACAAGGATGGTGACATATCAAATGGTAATACATGAATTCAAATTTTGTTTGTCTTAAAAAAATTAACTTTGTTTAAAAAAACTTTGGTTTTATAATATGAATCATATAATCTAAATATTTGCAGGAACTGTAGTTAAATCTTCCTAGCTTACGGGTGATCTTAATGTGACCGAGGAAACGATAACAATTGAAAATGAGAAAATTCCAGAAGTCGGCATGAAATTTGCTAATGAGAATGAAGTGTTTCGGACTTTCAGTACTACAAGAGATATGCTTATCGAACGGGTTTTACTATTAGAAAAAGAAATTCAACAAAAGGTGATGATGGAATCGTACGGTATGTGACGTATACTTGTAGTCGAGAAGGTCGACGAAGCTATACGAGCAGTACATCTCTGAATCCGCTATCTACTAGTCAAATAGGTTGTAAAGCAAGGTTGACCGCTTGTTCTAATGCTTGTGGAGTATGACATATAAATATTGTTCATTTAGAGCATAACCATAAGACAAGACCATCTAAATCTAGGTTGTACAAATGCAATCGGCAAATAAGCAACCAGATCAAAAGACAACTTGAAGTAAATGATATAGCAGGTATACCTATTCATAAAAGATGCAGCGGCAAACATTTAGATGGATTCGAGAATATGACATATGTTGAGAAAGATTGTCGAAATTTTATTGACAAAGTTCAGCGTTTGAGACTTGGCGAAGGAGATGCAGAGGCAATATCATCTTACTTCTCAAAAATGCAAGCATGTAGTCCTGGATTTTATTTTTCTATGGATTTAGATGAAAAGTGTCGCTTGAAAAATGTATTTTGGGCAGATAATCGGTGTCGAGAAGCGTATAAGGAATTTGGCGATGTTATCACCATTGACACCACGTACCTCCTAAGGACGATATGCCTTTTGCTCCTTTTGTAGGGGTTAATCACCATGGACAATCAACTTTATTCGGATGTGCTTTATTGTCGTCGAATGAAGTTACAAATACATTTGTTTGGGTGTTTCGGACATGGCTTGAGTGTATGCATGGCCTCGTTCCCAGAGGCATTATTATCGATCAAGATCGAGTTATGCAAAATGCCATCCAAATGGTTTTCTCTTGAACTAGGCATATATGGTGCTCATGGCACATTTTGAAAAAGTTGTCTGAGAAGCTCGACTATCATAGTGAAAAGAGAACCGCATAAAGAGGTCCTCCCTCACTCTCATCTTCCAAACCCTATCTACCATTGCTCCTCTTCTCTACGAACCCACACAATCAAAACTTTCAATTCTCGGCATGGCGATTTAATCGTTGACTGAATGACAAGCATCAAGAAGTAGATAAATTGTCTCTAATTTGGTCTATTCCATTTCTCAACTGTGGTACGACGCTAACAGTACACAAATGGTTGAGGGCCTGAAATTTTTGGCTATGACAGCAATCCTCACAAGGACGAGAATGATATTTCGGCTAGTTGAGGTGATATCACACTGTGTGGGGAAGACGGTTGAGACACTGGACCTGATTTCTCTCACTCTGAGCAATCAGTCACTGGCGCAGTGACTCTCTCCCCCGATCTATTCGAGATTGTTGTTGTTCTTCGAAAGCCACGTTTTAGGCGAATGTACGGGCGACGTGGAATTTATTTTAGTCATATTTGTTTTTTAATTTAATAGGCAAGGTCCACATGTGTATTGCAGTGGGCCATGTCAGCATTTCGGTGTCGGAGGTGGAAGTCGTGTTTCGATTTGAAAAACTACAAAAGGTTATGTACGTTCTTGCTAATATATAAAGGTTGTGATTAAAATGCAAAAACCTCAAATGTGGTGCTTTTATATGCAATTTTGTCTATATGTATTAAAAGAGTTACTATAGTATAACAAGGTAAATTGTGGAAGTGAAGAGTATCATTTTAAATGTAAACAATAATGCAATTTTAAAAGTATTTGAGATTAAAAATATCTTTTTATTCTTTATAATTAAGTATTATTTTTTAGGAGAAATTCCACAAAAAGACCCAATTTTTTGGAATTGTATCAATTTTCGGTCTGAATTTTATTCTTTCTCAATAGAAGATTTACATTTTAGGTTATTCATATAAAATTCACTTTATTATTTAACTTATCAATGTAACTTTTTGACATAAATATGCGAATCATAATATTATTTTCATAAATCTATATTTTACATTTTTATGTCAAAAATATAACTATATTTAACAATTATCATAAATAAGAAAATTAATTAATATAAGTTATGTTTATGTAAAAGTTTAATAAATTATATTTCAAAAAGTTAGTAAGAGAATTTTAAAAAATATTATTTAAATATTATTTTGATTAATAATCTAAATATGTAATAAAAGTAGGAAATAATATTTAAATTCAATTTTCAATTTTACTTTTTTTCACTTTACTTTTTAATTTATATTTTTATTTTCAATTTTCTTTCTTATCACTTCACCTTTTAATTTTCTATTTTAATTACATATTTTGATTTATTTCTTACTTTTATTACATATTTAGATTATTAATAAAAATATATTTCAATTATATTTCTTCAATTTCACTTATTAATTTTGAATAATAATCTTTATTAAACTCTTTCATAAATATAATTTCATAAAGAAATTTCCTTTTTTCGTACTTGTATACAAATCCGAAATAAAAGCATTTATGGGTATAATAATAAAATTCCTTAGTAGAATTGTAGGTAGACCAAATCTGCTGTACAACAGCTCAAAGGACAAAGCGTCTCGGCTGACTCGACCGCCAAAGCGAAATTCATAGTCGTTCTCTACAATTCCGTTCGGAAATTGGACACTCTCTTCAACAGCTTTGACTGACGACAGAAAACACCAGCCAGGTGTATTATACCTTTATTAATTTGTTCTTTGATCTTTTTGGGGGTTTATTGCCTGCGCATTAAAATCTGCGACCAGGTCTGTTTCTGTGTGCTTGGTAGATATTCGCTGTTGTCTTTTTCGAGATGGATTTTTTGCGTGTGTGATTTAATCTGATATTGATGTGTTCATGTCTGTATGTTCATGATCTGTTTGTGTTTTCGTGACGATAATCAGGGATTTTCCGAAAACATAGGGGAAAAATATGTTGGGGCTTGTAAGGCAAAGAGCAGCCTGCAAAGGCAGTCATGCTTTGGTAATATGGCGGTTTCTAAGTTTTATGTACTTTTTCTGATTTGATTATCGCCATTGAGTTGTGGTTTTAACAGGTTTGTTAAATTCCTCTAT